TGAGGTGGATTGATTCAGTGACTGGGATAATTGGGATGGGAGTGTCAGAGACAGTGCGATTGGCACAGGACAGAGCGGAGTTTAGGGCTGTTGTGCATAGGGTCACTATGAGTCATAAGCGACTCGACGGCACATAACAACAACAACATACAGTTTTCTCTTGTATGGTCCCATTTCCTAAACAACATGCCTCTGGAAACTCTATGAACTTTGATAAATGTCAATAGTTATAGAAAGGCTTCAGACCTTTTATTCGTAGGGTCACTATGAGTTGTGCTCAATTTGATGGCAATCAACAAACAACATTAGAACCCAAAACCAAGATGCTTCTTCTGAAGCATCTTTGACCGGAATTGAATCAGCATTTTGGTTTTGATTAGGGCATTAACCATTTGCATCACTCAGAGCTCTGGTGGCCTGTGGTAAAGAGCTGTGCTGTTAACCTGATGGCAACACAGTTTGAATTCACCAGCAGCTCTGCGGGAGAAAGAGAGGTAACCTCCTCCCAAGTGATATACAGCCTCAGAAAACTCCAGGTCAACTATGAGTTGGTTTCTAGTCAAAGGTACATAACAACAACATATCCATTTAAGAACTCTGGTGGTATAGTCCACAAGGATTTGTTTTGCTAACACAAAGGCTGTGTTTCCGATGGTTCAAATTCAGCAGCAGCTCCATGGGATAAAGATGGCCAGTCTTTTCCATTGCTATTTACCACCTCAGAAACCCAGTGGAGGGTCAGCTGTTAGTCAGTTCTGACTCGATGGCAGCAAGTTAGTGTATGTGTACCTATATTCATAAACATAATTAAAATCCTAAGATTGTCCCGTGATAATAGCTAGAAATTAGAATCATAGTCAGAATGAAATTATTTATATTTGTTGTTTACTTTATCTTTGGTTTTATCATTATTTGCTGAAAACTAGTATTTGTAAGTGGATATGATTATTTCTCATTCTTGGCTAAGTGATAGATGGCACTTCAGAAATTTCAATTCTATGAAGTCATTTTACTGTTTTATATTTTTGCTTTTGGTTTTTTTAGACACTTGGATCTGTTGCTAAATTTTCTGTTAGTAATTCTTTGAATAATGTAATTAGAGTTAACATTTTGGTTTCCAGATGCACAATAACTTAATTTCATCACTCATTTTGCTTTCATTTGGATTTTAAAAATTTTGGGGATTTTTTTTCTTCTAGCATAAACTTGTAAACTTAAGAATAAGTGATCAGGAAAAATTACTGATAATAATAGATTTTTCAAATATTTGATATTTACTAAATTGAGAAAAGTAACTATATTCTGTATTCTCCACTATATAATTGATAAAATTGGTTAGAAATTCAATTTTTATATTTAATGTAAATATTCTATAAGATTTTAATCTTTTATGGGCTTCCAAAATATATTACAGTGATTCCAAATGAACAGTTTCTTTTTCTTTTTACCTTCACTGCCAATATAAAAAGAGCAAAGGCTGTGTGGGGGTAGCCATATATATAAGACTTTTACCAACTCCACAGTGGGAACAGTCCCTGTCAACAACATAACACAAAACCATTTTCCAAGAGGTCAGAGATGAGGTCTTCCACATTCCTGCACCTCTTTCTACTCGTCCTCACACCAATCTTACTGGTTTGAAATGTGTTGCAATAGCTTTTAGATCCATATTAGGGAAGTCAAGAGGCTCTAATTCAAGTTAGCAGCAGAATACCAGTCAGTCAGGACAGCTACTGATAGGTGCTCAAGGCTGCCTCCATCGCAGCATAAGCTTTCAGTCCTGCCAATTATGGTTCTCTCCTTCACTACTTCCTTTTGCGCCTAGTTGTCCAATAAATTTAGGCAAAGACTTTTAGCTCTGGTTCCATCAAGGATAGCAAGCAGTTCAAGGTCAGCTCCATTTCATGTTGGGTCTTCTGTTTCACTACTGGCTCATGAGTTTCTGGCACTGAAGTGCATGTACTGCATGCCTACTTCTCCTTTGCTGGTGACAAGATTCAGCAATTTTCCTGATGGATGATCTGTTCAATTTATTGGCAAGACTAGGCAATCCCCTTATGGATTGGTGAGACCAGCCAGTCTGTGGATAGGATAGCATGCCCTATTCTCATATTACCACTTACGTACTTGGCAAATTCAGTCAGTGATTAGGAACCTTAACACGACAAATAATAAAGACAATATTTTAAAACATGGACTTTGTTAGGAAGAAATGTATTTCTGAACCAAATCAAGTGAGTCCATTGGGTTATGTGCAAAATTAAGTTATGTTAAATAAAGCCTTGACGGTTTCCCCAGGAACAGGATCACAGTCCCAGAACTCTAGTTTCAGGGGTGGAGACAGGAGGAGAGATCAGGAAAAGAGATTAGCTCAGCTCAAGAAACAATGTTGGGTAGGATTAGTTATCTTCTTATGGAAGAAGGATTGCAATGGGCTTCTTCAGGTAGTACCTTAAAGCCTTTCTAATATACATACTTAATATTATTTTGAAATCTAAGAAAGTGAAGAATCTAAAAGACCATTTTTATCACATGACAAAAACTGAGGATAGAAAAGAATAGTAGGCCTAGGCCCTTCTGATTTTTGCCTTGGGGCTTACTCCTTAGCCAAACTCAGTATGATGCTGGGTAGAGAGGATATCTGAGTTCTGACCTCTTAATAGGAAAGAATGAAGCTACTATACATAAGTCCTTTCACTTTTTATTTTAACGAAACAATTTAATCCAGGTCTAACACAAAATCCTCATCTAATAACAATAATCAAAAAAAGGAAACAAGAAAGCTTTGAAACAGAATAACAAGGTCACCTGTAATTGGCTTTCATATTGTTACAAACATTACATCAATTTGCAATGTTACCTTGCCTCTTTTACATCATCCGTGTTTTTATGTCTAAATTATCTTATTTCCTAGAATCTCTTGAACCTGAGGGATCCATTACTGTCTCAATGGGTATTGACTTCTGTGATTCTACTCAGACTGCCTCTTTCCAGTTGTGGTAAGCTCAGTTGTTCTTCTGTATTTTATGTTACTAGTAGTGGATTACTGGTATTCACTGGACTTCCTTGTAAGCGTATGGATATAATCCTGTCACTCACGATGTTGTACTTCAAGATGGATCTAGAAATTACTTTTTTTACTATAAAGGCAACCCCATTTTTTCTTGTCTTTT